GGCTAGGAAAGGTATAGAATCGACCGTAACTGGCTGGATTTATGCCATGCTGGTAAACAGAACTGCAACCACGACTCCTCAAGGCGAGCCCTTAGGTTCAGGGTCAACAGAGGCTGCCCTCAAGGTGGGGTACTATCTCCCCTTCTGTGGTCGTTCCTGATGGATAATCTTCTTGATGCCCTCGACAGAAGAAAAGTAGATTTGCAAGCTTATGCAGATGACCTCGTCATCTTGGAAAGGTTCACGTCGAGAAGAGTAGCTTGTAATAGCATCCAAAGCACGTTGGACGTTGTTCACAGTTGGGGCTTGAGGTAGCAGATGTCTGTCAATCTGATAATCCCATTCACCAGGAGAAGAAAATTGGACGATCTGACACCATTTTCCCTTAATGGTGAGGTCATTCCATTTGGATCGGAGGTGGAATATCTTGGCATTGTCCTTGATGAAAAAAACCCACCTGGAACGCTCACTTGGAAAAAGTTTTACACAAAGCCAGACTGTCCCTGTTGGCATGTCGAAGGATTTGTGATAAAACTTGGGGTTAAGGTCCCAAACAAATTCATTGGATTCATGTGATGATTATCAGATCAATGATCAGGTATGATGCAATTGCCTGGCGGTCGAAGGCTTTACAGAAAACGGCCCAGGCGAAGGTCTCTGGCTTACATTAGTCCCACACCGTCAGCGGCCATCCTTCTAGATCTGATAATGAGGCTGCTGACTTCTTTGCAAAGGAGGGTGCTGCAAGCAGCTTCATTGAACCAGAACCTTTCATTAGCATCGCTTTAGGCTTTGTCAAACAAAGATTGAACACCTGGATGACAAGAAGATTTATGGACTTCTGGCAGAATCTTCCAGGATTGGCTCACTCCAAGGCGTTTGTTCACCCTTCGAAGCTTGATACCAAACAGTTGTTGGACTACAGTAGGGATCTAACAGGCCTTCTTACAGGTCACTGTTATTTGAATAAACATATCAATTTGCTGAAAAAACCTTTCGTATCAAGAACTTATTTTGGTAGTAGAGCTCCCGCAAAATGTTCAAAGTTTATGTTTTTCTTCGAAACTCACAAAGGTATTTTTGTTTCACATAGTGACATCAACTCAAACTGCATATTCGCGAATTGAAATTTAATCAAAGAGGCTGATTCTGAGATCAAATTCATAAAGATCAAAGCTCATGCAGATCTTTTTGCCAATGAAAAAGAGGATGAGTTGGCAAAGGCAAACCATGAAACAGGACAACACGTAAAACAAATATTGCGTGAAAGAATGTGTAATACTACTACAGAGAAATAAGCTCATACAAAACTGATAAATTTCAAGGCAACAGTTTTGTGAAAATTCCTGATCTCAGCAGCCGTTTTTATTATTACTAAAAATCTTTCCGGAAATATGGCACAAAAATATGAAGTGTGGACGGAATTTTCATTCTGTTATGTATTCTATTTTTAATAAGTTCAAGCAGTTTAACTGCCCATGAACATTCTCATGAGGGACATTCTCATGAACCGCCTTCCTCCCATAGTATTACCCTATATTATAACCCTATAATATAATCCTGAATATAACAATAAATCGTCGTACTGACAGTTACTGAGATATTGATTTAGAAAACATTTCACTTTGTCACTGAAAAAATCTCCAGGATTTTTTCCACGATGAAATAAGGGTTAGATAAAAAACTCCACCAACTACCTATTAAACGTCTATTAGTCCTGAATCATGAGTTCATAATCAATTGGAAGTTTTACCCAAACACTAGTTTCAGATTATTATCTGTATGGTTGAAAAATGTGAAGTTATTCACAGCCATTTTGATCTCCTAATGGGAATACTTGTCATAGAGTTCATGAAATTTGAGAAAATAGTGAAAACAGTATTATTTCACAAAAATAAGTGGGTCAGGAATCACATGTTGAAAGGTAAGACCTCCTCAATGCTTACCTCGCAGATGCTTTGACTTTGGTTTACGGGAAAATCCATATGCAACCGCTCAACTTTCAAGATTAAAGTCAGACATGGTTCAAATAGTTTTGTTTTTGTGTCACCCGAAGATATATTGATATTACTTGATTGAACCTTCATAAAAGATTTTCTGGCGTTGAACACATTAGTTAATTTATGTTGATAAAATTCTGGAAAATAACGTATTTTTGTTTCGATTGCAGAGACGGGCCAGGCTGCNTTCGATTCCAGAGACGGGCCAGGATGCTTTTTTGGTGACATCTTCTTCAGGGTAAAAAGGTTCTTCAGGAGAAAGCTTAGATCTTTAGGATTTGGAGTTAGAAAAAGAGTCAAAATACGAGAGAGTATTGATAAGAAAAATGGAAAAAATAAAAGCAATAATGTGGCTAACCTGAGCAAAAATAAAGATCCTTGCCTTGGAGACGATAAACTGGATGAATATGATAGGCCAGATAACGAAGTTAATGACAATTATCAGATGGGTGACAATGATTCGTGTGGTGATTTCAGTGAATTTGACATGGCGAACGATTTGTGAAAAGTAGTCTTCTAAAATAAAAATATGGGTGAATGTGTAGGTTTTCCATTGATTGTGAAGTGAATAAAATCTCATGCGGCTCTAATTTTTCTATTACTGAACCTTTTCCTCAAACCCGAAATATCTACATATAGGAACCTTTCAAGGCTTCATTTCAGGCTTTCCCTTGGTGGATTATGAAATATTAACATTCATGGGATCAAATGAAAAGCAATATCTATATATCTACGGTATCAAATGTTCTTCAAAAGTGTCGTGGAAGCTAAACTATCTGGAAGTGATACCAGATCCCACGCTGGCGTGGAACCAACATCCAGAAATGTTTAAAAGAAAGGCGAAGACGCACCTACGGCAAGACATAGGAGCTCAAACCAGACATGATGTATTGGATCTACAATATATGATGGTTAAACCCTGATTAACATATGAATCTATTATCTGGTGGCCAAAGATGAAACAATGTTTGGAAATAGTAGGAACAATAAAACCACTCATATAGCTTCATTGGAGATACTCTTGAATATTTATATAATACTTTACATCTTGTAATGATTGGTAAAGCAAGAGTGGGCCCACTGGTCAAACTTATTCCATGAAAAAGTTATTAAACATATCTTACATATGATTTTTATTCAACAATATGCTATGTCGATATTAGTTAGTATGAAAAAAAACTCCTTCTGGTGACACTCTTTGCAGAGATCACCACCGTAGTTGTGGCTTGTGGCACAGATTACTATTCTGTGGTGGTGGTGATATGTCAACTGTCACGTATTCATATTTCATATAACCTCCTCATGTTTTCATTTTAAACACGTAAACANAATGGTCGTACTGACAGTTACTGAGATATTGATTTAGAAAACATTTCACTTTGTCACTGAAAAAATCTCCAGGATTTTTTCCACGATGAAATAAGGGTTAGATAAAAAACTCCACCAACTACCTATTAAACGTCTATTAGTCCTGAATCATGAGTTCATAATCAATTGGAAGTTTTACCCAAACACTAGTTTCAGATTATTATCTGTATGGTTGAAAAATGTGAAGTTATTCACAGCCATTTTGATCTCCTAATGGGAATACTTGTCATAGAGTTCATGAAATTTGAGAAAATAGTGAAAACAGTATTATTTCACAAAAATAAGTGGGTCAGGAATCACATGTTGAAAGGTAAGACCTCCTCAATGCTTACCTCGCAGATGCTATGACTTTGGTTTACGGAAAAATCCATATGCAACCGCGCAACTTCCAAGATTAAGTCAGATATGGTTCAAATAGTTTTGTTTTTGTGTCACCCGAAGATATATTGATATTACTTGATTGAACCTTCATAAAAGATTTTCTGGCGTTGAACACATTAGTTAATTTATGTTGATAAAATTCTGGAAAATAACGTATTTTTGTTTCGATTGCAGAGACGGGCCAGGATGCTTTTTTGGTGACATCTTCTTCAGGGTAAAAAGGTTCTTCAGGAGAAAGCTTAGATCTTTAGGATTTGGAGTTAGAAAAAGAGTCAAAATACGAGAGAGTATTGATAAGAAAAATGGAAAAAATAAAAGCAATAATGTGGCTAACCTGAGCAAAAATAAAGATCCTTGCCTTGGAGACGATAAACTGGATGAATATGATAGGCCAGATAACGAAATTAATGACAATTATCAGATGGGTGACAATGATTCGTGTGGGGATTTCAGTGAATTTGACATGGCGAACGATTTGTGAAAAGTAGTCTTCTAAAATAAAAATATAGGTGAATGTGTAGGTTTTCCATTGATTGTGAAGTGAATAAAATCTCATGCGGCTCTGATTTTTCTATTACTGAACCTTTTCCTCAAACCCGAAATATCTACATATAGGAACCTTTCAAGGCTTCATTTCAGGCTTTCCCTTGGTGGATTATGAAATATTAACATTCATGGGATCAAATGAAAAGCAATATCTATATATCTACGGTATCAAATGTTCTTCAAAAGTGTCGTGGAAGCTAAACTATCTGGAAGTGATACCAGATCCCACGCTGGCGTGGAACCAACATCCAGAAATGTTTAAAAGAAAGGCGGAGACGCACCTACGACAAGACATAAGGGCTCAAACCAGACATGATGTATTGGATCTACAATATATGATGGTTAAACCCTGATTAACATATGAATCTATTATCTGGTGGCCAAAGATGAAACAATGTTTGGAAATAATAGGAACAATAAAACCACTCCTATAGCTGCATTGGAGATACTCTTGAATATTTATATAATACTTTACATCTTGTAATGATTGGTAAAGCAAGAGTGGGCCCACTGGTCAAACTTATTCCATGAAAAAGTTATTAAACATATCTTACATATGATTTTTATTCAACAATATGCTATGTCGATATTAGTTAGTATGAAAAAAAACTCCTTCTGGTGACACTCTTTGCAGAGATCACCACCGTAGTTGTGGCTTGTGGCACAGATTACTATTCTGTGGTGGTGGTGATATGTCAACTGTCACGTATTCATATTTCATATAACCTCCTCATGTTTTCATTTTAAACACGTAAACAAATTTAAAAAAAAAATAAATTCTTCCTGAATCTGACACAAAAAGATATTACCTCTACAGCAAGCATGTGTAAAGGTTTCATTCTGTTATGTATTCTATTTTTAATAAGTTCAAGCAGTTTAACTGCCCATGAACATTCTCATGAGGGACATTCTCATGAACCGCCTTCCTACAAGTATTCAAAAGAAGCAAATAAAAATTCAGATTCACACCACCACCATAGGGAAGTTCCGGTAAAAGAAAAACAGGTTGCATTAACCACTCAAGAATTATGGCTACATGCAATGGGATCAACTTTGCTAATAAGTGCTGCCCCTTTCCTAATCCTCTTTTGTGTTCCCCTGGATAACACAGTTAGTAGCCAACCTTTGTTAAAGATTTTGTTGGCCTTTGCATCAGGAGGTTTGCTGGGTGATGCCTTTCTTCACTTAATTCCCCATGCAGCTATGGCTGTGAGTGACCACAGTCATTCTCATGCCCATACACACAGTCACGAATCTGGCGATCATGCACATGATATGTCTGTTGGACTCTGGGTTTTGGCTGGCATAGTGGTTTTTTTGGTAGTTGAAAAATGTGTGAGAATTATAAAAGGCAGTCACGGTCATTCACATGAAAAATCGTCAAAGGAAAAGGCTGATACTACTAAGAATGGTAAAAGTAAAGGCGAGAAGGGCAAGAAAAAGATTGAAGGGGAGGACAAAGAAATCAAGGTTGCTGGGTATTTGAATTTAGCTGCAGATTTCAGTCACAATTTCACTGACGGACTAGCTATTGGATCGTCCTATTTAGCTGGGAATACTATTGGTAATATCACCTTGTCCATTATGTATAAGAAATGAAACAATTTTACTGTTGAATATGAGAAAGTACTGTTTTATTTGGCATTAAACTCATGTGAATCTCATGGTCAATGTGAAAAATTAAGCATGGCTCAACATATAATCCAAATCTTATATTTCTTATATTATTGTTTTTCTGTGGTGATTATTATACCTCAATTGTAATTTTCAAGTAGTATCTCTCTTGCGTACAAGCAATCAATTGCTTCTCTGATCACATATGTTTATTCTACTGGAGTTATTTGATGTTTAATTGACTTTCATTAATTCTTTGTTGAATGATTATGATCAGTATCATTATTAAGGAAAAGTCAATTTGCTCATATTATTGAATTCATATTGTTTTTTGTTTTAGAACTATTTCTTATTAGGAGTAACTTTCACTTACCTGTTTTTTATTTTGGGTATGGTGAATATTCATTTCTGGGACGTACTCTGGTTTTTAAAAAATGTTTCAAATTCAAGTTCAATGTAATAATATCAAAATTTCTAGAATATTCTATAAATGAATATATATTTATAATTTCGTTACTATAAAGACTGAACCTGCCTAAGAAATCTACCAAATAAAATAAAACAGTTGGAAGATACATAGTTTTTATACTTACTTCAAAGTTGTGGTTTGAAGCCAACTATTATAAACTATGAAGTCAGAAAAAAAATGAAACCAACTAGTATCTTTCAGACCAATGACGCTATATGAACCTGAAGGTGGAAAAAGGGCAGAAACGTACCTGCTTGATATATGATTAAAAATGATTACATGATGTTTCTGATTTTATTTCTAAATTGACAGGACCTGCCAAGGAAATCAACAAAAAATAATGGTCAGAAAATACTTACCTGATATTTATATTGTAGTAATCTCTTCAAGGAAGATCTCGTTTTTTTCCTAAAATTAACCTAACTATCATAACTAAAGTACAATGAACTTTCTAATGTATGAAAGTAATTATGAAGACTGTATCAAAGAGAGGTACTACATATAAGAAAATAAATGTCTCGAAATAAAATTACGAATCTTCATCTCTTGTGTCGTATCTATACAGTAGATCTATACAGTAGGTAAAAAATTGTATTGGAATAAATAAATGAAATAACAATTATTGGTATTTCACTCTCGTCTATTTCACAGGTCTTATTCCTCTCGTATATGTTACATGTGGTCAAAAATTTCAACTTCATAATCATTTTCAGGAATTGTGACAACTATAACAATACTTTTACATGAAGTGCCCCATGAAATTGGAGATTTTGCCATTTTACTTCAGTCCGGTGTTTCAAGAAAAAATGCCATGCTTCTTCAACTTACAACTGCTCTAGGAGCTGTAGCAGGTGAGTTATGATAAAGCTTATGACTCTTTTCTGGATAGAATTCAGCAGCCTAGTATACTTTCTAGTTCAAAATAGAATCTGACATCATTATGTCTGTTTCTGCCACATACCTATTTAGAAAAATATATCTGAATTTTTTTAGCTTTCAATTCTTATTTATAGTATTATATAAAGACATACGTATATGCTTTATCAATTAACCTAACTTGGTGCGAACATATTATACCCACATGCAAATTTGACAACAGTCAGATCTACCTCATCTGCAAAACGTTCTCCCATCTATCATATTCAAGTTCAATAAAGCTCTACAAAACCTACGTTCGTCTAATTATGGAGTATGCAGTTCCGGTGTGGTGTTCTGTTCTGGTGCATGATAAGAACTTTTTGGAAAATGTCCAACTGATAGCTTTTGACCAACGTCGACTCCGTGGGGACTTCATCATATCTTTCCATATAGCCAAGTATAATTATGCTAATCAGAAAAAACTTTTTGTTTTCAATAATGACTCGCTGTTACGTGGTCACACATTCAAATTAAATAAATATAGTTTATAAAACTAAAAAACATGCTTTCAAAGAACATCGAACTAAAAAGTTAAAAATATTTTTTTTAATTCTTTGTTTTATTTTTGTTTAGGGACATAACGTTTGAATTTGAAAAGTTTTCCATTTTCAATAATGTTTCCTCTGACTTACGTTCTATCGCGCTTGAGTTTTTGTCCTGTAACAAAAGAGTAGAGTCACCTGCTTACATAAAAACATCAGCAGTATCAATAAATGTTGGTAAGTCGTTTATGTATATGATGAATAATAGGAGACTTAGCACTGAGCCCTGAGGCACCCCATGTTTGACTTCTATAGTTTTTGATGTCTTATTATTTAGTGATACATATTGCTGTCTGTCTTTTAGGTATGACTGGATGAGATCTAATGCTGTTTCACGTATTCCTTATTTGTGGAGTTTTTTCAACAAAATATCATGAGAAACACTATCAAATGCCTTCGACAGGTCACATAAGATTGCACGTGTATGTATCCCTACATCTTGATTTTTGACTACTTTCTTTAGGGGTTGCTCTCCCCAGTTTTAAGTGTGATGGAAACTCACCCTTTACCAGGCAAATATTCATCAGATGTGCAAGAGGTTCTGCTAAAATTTCAGGAACGAGTTTTATTATTTTTGCACTGATATTGTATGCATCCATACTACTACTATTTTTTAAGGTTCTCAAAAGTATTAAAATTTCATTCTCGTTTGTGGGTCTCAGGAATACCGCTGTTTTTACATTAATTTTCAAATGTTTCTCAGCTCTCAGATCGGTGGGAGGTATTGTTTTAATAATATTGTCAACCATTGTTGCACTATATTCACTGACATCATTCTACATACATCCATATCATACACATACATACATACAGGTGAAGCTAATAAAAGCGTGTTGATCAATTAAAAAAAAAGACATTCGCCACAAGGCAGGTGAACTGTATTTTCGAAACACAGAATACTTACCCAACGATGTTGTGAATTCGTTTCTATGCATATATTAATTATTTTTCTTTCTTTTTGCATGCATTTTATTAACTTGTTGACCTCTTTAGTTTTTAAGCTTCTATAGGACTCTGTCCTCAGCCTTTATTTACATGTAATAATAATAATAATGTTTGTATCTACAGACATTAGAAAATACTTTAAATTGAATTGAATCAGAACCAAAAGCTTCGTGGACTTGAGCTGGTTCAGTATTTGTCTAAAGCGCCTTACAAGGTCATAGGAACAGTTAGGATTAGATCAAATAACGTTTCAACTTATATAAAGTCATCCCAGGGCACCACAAGTTGAAACAATATTTGAAATATCAGACATATTGTTGAAAATTGTTTCATCTTGTAAGACCCTGATGATGACTTCATGAAAGTCTCAGCGTCGGCCAAAAACGATAGTGAATTGGCTTAATCCAATCCCAATTGTTCCTCTGAACGTTAAATTCGTTGAGGTTTTAAAACAGCACTCAACTGAAAGCCCTTTTTTGTAATACGAGTGAAAATAAAATATTTCATTCAACATATAAATTTGCTGTTTAAGTTCCTATTCATCTAAGAGAAACCTTGAATCTATAATACTAGCATTTATTTCAGGAACTGCGTTATCTCTTCTTGCCCAAAACAGTTCAGGAGCCATGGCGGCGTCTTGGATCTTGCCTTTCACTGCTGGAGGATTTATATACATAGCTCTTGTATCTGTGATTCCTGAACTTCTTGATGAAGAAAAACCTAGTATTGTTCAAACTTTTCTACAAGTGGCTGCTATGTTAGCAGGAGTGGGAATGATGGTGGTGATCGCCGAATATGAATGAGTTTTCAATAAGTAATTTAATTCAGACTGAAATATAGACAATTTTGAAATATATTTATTTTTTGGTCAAGAATAATAATTTTATGGTCACCTCAGAATCTTTATAATGGACTACTTTAGTAATGATACACATATACTCTTACTGTTGTGATCTTCAAACAAATAAGTCATTATTTTGTCATTATTTGCTGTTGCTTGTGAGTGTAAAAATTAGAAAATTATTTTTCTCGCTGCAGGATGAAAAGTTCGCTTTTCGTCGTCTGTATGCCTCATTCTCTCCCGGTTAGATAACACTAACTTTTCCTCTCGGTAACCTAGCAACGAAATGTTTATCAAACTGTCTATGACAACTTGAAATGCGCGACGACAGTTACATTTTCAATCTGTGATTGAAAAACGCTGAATCAACGAAAGGATCGACTTTTCACCCGCCTTCGGCTTGGGCGACAAAGTTTCCCGGACGAGAATCCCGTACTTTTTTCCCTAGGTGGTTAAAATGCATGAATTGGGCTTCAAATTGCTTCTGCGTCCACCATATTCTACAGATCTGGCCCCTAGCAACCTTTTCCTGTTCTCTTGACAAAATTTCACGGGCGAGAAAGACGTACTTTTCTCCCTAGGTGCGTAATATACTATTTTTAAATCGGAGAATTCAGCGGTCATACGTTCATTTTTATAGTACGATTTGTCCTTAGCCTCAAAATAAGCCTCAGTTTCAACAGTTACCTCTTCATCGGCGCAAAATTTCTTTACAGCAAGCATTTTTTTTGAGTTCTGAGAACGGGAAAATGTCGCTTGAGGCCAGATCTGGAGAATATGGTGGATGCGGAAGCAATTTGAAGCCCAATTCATGCAATTTTGCCATTATCTTCATTGTGCATAAGTTTTTTTTTTTTTATTTACCAAAGAATTATTACATGTTCTCAACAAAGTTATCATCGAATTCAAAGTATTATCAATGTTAACCTCTAAGAATTTAGTTGTATCTTTTTGTTTGAGACAGGATCATCCCTAAGTAATATATTTGACAGTTCACATAAAAAAAAGACATGTCTTTTCTATGTCGAGTGTCAAGAGATTTGCATGACACCAGTTCTTAACTTTCATTAAATCAGTGACAATTTCTGATCAGTCTTTGGGAACTTTATTGTGTCAAAACAGAGTTGTATCATCTGCGAAGAGAGTAAAATTTCCAGAGGCAACCTCCTTTATATACAGTAGAAATAGGATGAGGCCCAAAACCGACCTTTGCGGAACAACTGAATTTTCTGTTATTTAACATGAAGGATGTGGTAGTTTTCACTAACTGTTTTCGATTTCCTATTTTAGATTTAAACCATTCAAAAGCCGAGTTATCAAAACCATATTTATGAGGCTTCTGCAGCAGAACAGCATGGTTTACACAATGAAAGGCTTTTGACAGGTCACTGCTGCAGAGGCCTCACCTTTATTTATTTTTTCATGAAATACTTTGGCTTTGATAATATGTCGCGCTCATTCATTGAATCCTTTCTAAATGATAGAACTCAACGTGTCGTCATGGAAGACATAAAATCGTCTGAACTTTGGGTAGCTCATGGCGCACCCCAGGGATCAGTATTAGCTCCCCTTCTTTTCACTATATACACTTCAGATTTCTCTAAGGTCTTGAAAAAATTTCAAATTCAAACATATGCAGATGACACAAACTTATATTTTTTAGTGATAGAATCGAGAATATTATGAACCAACAAAGTTATTTGAATGAAGATATAAAAAAATTAATTGAAATATCCAAGGATGATTCACTCACTATCAATCCTACCAAATCAACAGCCATAATATTTGGAAGTGATAAAGATCGTCAGAGGGCCATAGACAATATATAATAATGATAATAAATGAATTTATTGACAGCTGAAATAACATGATACAATATGGAGAAAAACAAAATACAAATTTGTCAATAGGATACAAGATTGAACAGAGTAGCTAAACTCCGCCAGTATAAGTGAAGACAATTTATTATTATTATATGGAGAAAAGAAAATATTGTTTCGCTTACATATTTTTCTTGAAAAGTACTCTCAACAAGGAAGAAGACTGAAAGAGAGACGAAATACATGTAATACTCCACAAATGTTTCTACTGGGTTGGTTCTTTATTTTGATAACTGATTATTTACAACTGACTAGAAATTCATAATAGTCATAAAATAACTTTACACAAGACAATTTATTGATACTGCCCTACTTTGGACTAGATTTTCACCATTTACCTGGGTATCACTTGCCCAAATTGAGTTTTATTTGATCAAAACAATAGTTTGCCTGTTCTATAGATTCATTATTTTCATGTTTTCTTCCTGAAACAAAGTTTCATTAAATATACAGTAAATCACTTTATGGATATGACAAAGTAAATCACAGGAGAATGCAATACCAGTATAATTACATAGTTATATACTCATATTTTGCCAATAACAGTAAAATTCAAAGAACGCAAACAGATAATAGAACAGTAGGATAGTAAAAGTCATTGAAGAACAACTCCTCATATAAAAGTCCCTTCATCTAATAGAATACCTCATTATTCTTGTCGAGAAAAGATGAGATGAACCGATTTAGTCGTAGCCCAGTCGAGTACCATTAATGAAATCTATGGCAGACTGAAATGAATGTATTGGGTTACAAAAGACACGCTTTTGGATGAAATGCATCAGTTGTGCTGGTGCAGCTACATCAGACTGAGCAGGATCAAGAACCAATTTTTTTTCAAAATGAGATTCACGTTGGATTTGAACCGCTGGAGATTAAATTCATTTGGAAAAACGTTCTCAGGAAGTTCAATCCACATGATTGCAGTTCAACAAATGAATGAGTTCTTGGTGGAATTAAGATTACATTACATTAAGATTACAAGTGATGTTTGTGTCTCCAATAAGGCGGATGGCTCTTTTCTGGATGGAATCCAGCAGCTTCAGAATATGCTTAGAGGCGAAGCTCCATACATGAGAACAATATTCCAAAGAAGGTCTGATCTGAGCTTCATAAAATATCAAAAGTTGTTGGGTTTTGTACAGTTTTCTGGTTAGGAACAGTGTTTTCCAAGCTTCTGAGAAGAAGAGATGAAATGCTTGTTCTTGTTCTGAACCAATTCCAGTATTACAAACAAATACTGAAATCACTGTCCAATTTACTACCGGAACCATTGCAAATGTTACTTATGAGGTTGGGAGGTACTCAGTGTTGGAAGGATTCCATAGTGTGACATTTCAAAAAAAAATCAATTTGCCCAAACATATTTTAAATTTTTGAAAAATGAAGATTTTGGGTTTCAACTTCTCTATCTATACAAAAAAAAGTGGAAATCTTCCAAAGAAAGGAAGAAAGAAATTCATTTCAAACATTGAAAGTTTGAATGAGAATATATAAAGTTTTTACCCTCATTGCGAAACACAAAAATGAAACTGGCGATTTGAAGATTTCGATGAATACAAGTATTATAGAGACTTGATAATTACCTAAATGCCAAGCTTCCTTGCAGAATTTTTCAGCCTCTCCCAAAATCCCTTTATGCAACAAAACAAGTCCAAGATTTGCATGGACTACTCCTAGATGAGTTTTGTCGTCAAGGTTTTCTCCTATGGATATGGCTTCTTTCAAATATTTCACTGCATTTTCATTATCTTCTGCTCGAAAGCTTGTGATGCCCAAATCGTTCAATAACAAAACAATCTGTTCATTTTCTCGTCCATTAACTTCTCTACAGATTCTGTGTGCCTCTGTTAGGAATCTCAATGAGTTAGCTACTTCTCCCTTATCTAATAGAAACTGTGCATACCAATCATTGATGACACCATATAAAATGTTCGCATCTATACTGTCATTTCTCTGCCTGTCAATTTGTTCAAGACACCATTTATATCCGATTTCTGCCTTCTCAATATTAGCTTTCAACTGACATATACGGGCAAGTTTTAGGCTTATGTGAATGACCTTAAATTGAGGTAACGTTATGGAGTTTGTTCAGGTGATTTAACAATTGAACTCTTCACAAATATTACAATTTCATAAAGTGACCGACTCAATGATAAAAATTTGGAAAATAGGCGTAAACAGGCAAACTTTCACTTGCGAATTTTACTTTGAAATCAAGGAAAGCAGCAGGTGATTTTCACTTAGTTGTATCATAATAACTGCTAAAAAAAAAGGAATATTCATTTGAAATACACACCTCAAGATTTTCATGTTTCATGCCTTTGCTCAATAACATTTGTAATACACTTACAAACAATTTTTCAGCTTTATCTAACTCATGCTGATCAAAAGCTAAATTTGCCATCAAATCATAGCAATAAAGAATACCTTGCTCATTTTGCTGTTGTTGGGCCAATCGAAGAGCAAGATGAAGCAATTGTTCAGATTTTTGGAACTGCTCCCTTTGTTTACATAACACAGCTCTCTTCAAAGTCATTATCAATTCAGAATCTTCATTTTCATCTTCCTTTGTAAATCCAAGCCAAGTTAGTAAACTCAAAGCTATTGCTATATTGGTAGGAATCTTGACAAAATTTGAATTTTTAATGAATCTAGATTTTTTTAAAGGAACTACAGTATTCCATGCAAAAGTTTTCCAAAAAATATTTCTTGGAGGAACCGGAGAATGTGAGTAATATGATGATATAGATCTAGCAACGAACCGACAAAAGTTATTCATTTTATTGTTATTGGAGTTGATTCTCAACTTCAAATTTAACTTACAATTCAAATCATCTCTCGGTTTAAAAATGAAATTTCAGAAAAAATAAATAAAACTATCATCAACTGTCAATGTCAAGTCCTATCACAGAATTGAAAAGTATTCTGTGCTCCAACACCTTTATATCTATTCACAGAACTATAGAACTATAACTTAGATACAGTTCTGTGTATCTTCTATTACAGTTTACAAACTAAAAGGTTTGTTTGTTTTTGACAATGCAGTGTTAACGATGGAGGGGATTTTTGAAAGTACTCAAAATAGTTCATGGTTCTTGGCCGCGCTGTTCTATAAGGTGTTCTGTGATAGTTTTGTGATACATATTATATCATCTCAATATCATCAACTCAATAATAATCCTTCAGTGCCTGGTGAAAAAGTACCTATTACTAACCTATCAGAATATTTGTGGCAATATACCTGCGCATTACAGATAACTCGTTACTCGTTAGTACTTTTCCAAATTTTTTTTTTCAAAACAGTTATAGGAAGCAGTTCCACTATCGAGAGATATTTGTATGCAACCTCATCAAACATCGAAATGCAAAAATGTTTGCTTTCAAACGTATGCTGTCATTCTCATTAATCGACTATAAAACATCTGTTATGAGTTATTTATGGATGAGATTGAAAGAAAAAGTTGCAGAATGAATATTATCTATGATGACCGTTGATGGAGCATACGCATACACCCATCATCATAACCACCACCACTTCTTGTTTTGGAACATCTTTTGAAGACAGCTTTGAAATTATTTCGATGTTTGACAGATCTGAAGTCACCGAAGAATTATTTTAACCAATTTTGAGTTTTCACAAATTTATGAATTGAAGGGGTTATATTTTTAGGAGTGATTAATTTCCCACAAAACAAATTTATGATTTTGATGAGTTTCTAGGCATTGCAGACACGACTATTGAGCCATATTTTGGTGTGAAATTGTTTTAGTTTGATTGGAAACATTTAATTTTCTCATTGGAATAGGTAATGACGTCATATTTGTTAAATATTTCCATCTCCTAAGGATATTTCAAATGAAAGAGGTAGAAGGGAGAACTGCCATTTACATTACTCTTACAATTTTATTCATAAATAAATCATTAGGGAGGTTATGTAGTCTTTTGGTGAGGAACATGACACATGACATACTTTCAAAAGCAAACAATTTTGAAATTTGATGACGTTGATACAAAAGCATGATTGAAATAGTTTCAAAATCACCCTATCGAGAAAATATGGCTTGGTAATATGACATTTGTCAAGTGTCAAATATCAAAGTACAAATTGAAAATTACCAAGCAATTTTTTGGCTAGGTACGGTTTACTAATATTTCCAAAATTAATTAGATATTAAAATGTCTGCAAGATACGATAGGGCTATAACCGTTTTTTCACCAGATGGACATCTTCTGCAAGTTGAATATGCACAAGAAGCCGTCCGAAAAGGATCTACTGCGGTAAGTTAGAAACAAGAAACAATCCTAACCTGTTCAGGAATGACTATCACTTTAATGAATAAAACATAATTTTTTCGCAGGTTGGTGTTAGGGGAGCCAATTCTGTCGTACTTGGAGTCGAAAAAAAATCGGTAGCAAAGCTTCAAGAAGAAAGAACTGTGAGAAAAATATGTCTATTAGATGAGCATGTAGTTATGGCCTTTGCAGGGTTGACCGCCGACGCCAGAATACTGATCAATCGAGCGCAAATCGAGTGTCAAAGTCACAAATTAACCGTCGAGGATCCTGTTACATTAGAATATATAACACGTTATATAGCATCGTTGAAACAGAAGTATACTCAGAGTAATGGCAAGAGACCTTTTGGTATCTCTTGTCTTATCGGTGGCTTTGATTATGATGGCAAACCACATCTTTACCAGACAGAGCCGTCAGGTATTTACTACGAGTGGAAAGCAAATGCTACTGGTCGATCTGCAAAAACAGTAAGAGAGTTTCTGGAAAAGTTTTATACTTCCGAAGAGGTAGCTACAGAGAAAGGCACTGTGAAGTTAGCTATACGTGCACTATTGGAGGTGGTCCAATCTGGGCAGAAAAATTTAGAAATTGCTGTGATGCGGCATGGAGAACCCTTGGAAATGTTAGATGGAGAGACTATCGAAAAATACGTAACTGAGATAGAGAAAGAAAAGGAGGAAGAAGCCGAGAAAAAGAAAGCTAAGAAATGAATTGTCATTAAGCGCTATTATATTTCTCAATTTTTTAAAATTAATTACACTTATTTCTAAAATAAATTCAAGTAAGAGTATTTTCAATTGTCACAGAGGTGAATGTTTGCATACAATCGGTGGATTTGTTTTGGTTAAAATCCTTAACGAAATATATTCATACTATTTGAAAAAGGAATATTTTCAAGCGAGATTAGGTTTCAAATACAGAGTTTAGGAATTGAAGGGGTTATATTTTTAGGAGTGATTAATTTTTGGGAAAGAAAGTTTTTGGCTTTCTACTACTCCATCTTGATACAAAAAAAAAAGGGGATGATGAATCTTCCAGTGTATATCAGTGAGGGTGACAGTGTTCCATTTAAGTGCAATTTATTACCATTCATTCAAAGTAGAAGTCATGTGAATGATATCTGATTTTTATCCCACAAAGAATGTTTGGAATACAAACTGAGTAGAGAAAAGTATCTTCTGTATAATTCAGTGTTCATGTAAAAGTATTCGATTCGAAAGAAATTTTTTCTTTTGTGTGATTCAATGTTTATATGAAAGTAGCTGTTTCAGGAGGACTTTTTTTCAAATTGATTACTCCCTTCCTTTCTTTGGAAGATTCCCTCATCCCCTTTTTTTGTATCAAGATGGAGTAGTAGAAAGTCAAAAACTTTCTTTCCCAAAAAACAGAGTTCAGGCTTTTAAATTCTCCAACAATACTCAAAAAATATGAAATTCGCAAAAACTAAATGGAAAAGAAATGAAAATATATCAATAAAAAGTCTTCACAAAGATATGAAGGAAGAAAGATCCACATGAAACTATAGTGAACATTGAATTACTTAAAAAGTTTCTTATTCAATTTGTGCACATACAGAAACAGTACAGTGTAATATATGAAAGATATTGATGTGAAATTTCACTTACAAAATCTAGGTGATTTTCCTGAACTTTCTCAAAAAATGCTTTAGTCACTCTCTTCTTTGATTTATGTAAAGCATTTGACATTAGACCACTGTCCGCTTTTTGAATATTTTCACCACGTTGGTGTTGGAGATTGCAAATAAATAGTCATGTTGGAAAATGTCAAATGTGAAGAAAAAATGGTTAAAGTTGTGGTACCTCAAGGATCAATACTGGGTCCAATACTGTTCACTATCTTTGTCAATGAAATTCATTTATCATGCAGGTGACACAACAATAGTAATATCTGATGGAAATTTGGACAAAACAGTACACACTGCCAGCAATGTCGCGTATGACTGGTGTAATACTATTGATCAATGTCTCAATATAGAAAAAACAAAATTCACTTTTCTTATTCCGAGAAATACTACTCATAACTTCTGATCTGCAATATAAATCAATGACAGTATAATAGAACAGGTCACAATAACTAAATTCTTAGGTGTCACTCTTGATCACAAAATGGGCTGGGAAAGTCATAATATTAAATAATAAACTGAGTAAAAATTGCTTTGTACTGAGACAACCAACATTAATATGTCTAGGGACATATTAACATATATATTGATGTTGGTTTATTATGGTCTGGTAAAGTCGAATATGCTATATGGCTTGATATTTTAGGAAGGCCCAACTCATATTGACCAAATATTTATCATTCAAAAAAATTGTCAGATGTATTAAAGGGGTGGACCAAAGAACATCATGAAGGCAAATATTCGTTGAATATAAGCATTCTTTCTTCAAATTGAAATAAAACAAAGTGTGTGTGAGATATCATTGGAAATTTTTTTATCGTTTGAAAGACCTATTGATACCATTATGTGTGGAATACAACATCGTTTAAATGTCCACCACGACTTCGATGGATGAAGGGCGTCCAATTTTCCATGACTCTGAGGCATAATTCAGGCTGAATTTGACCGATGGCATGAGCATGAGGACCGCTGAGGTTTGTGGCTCATTTGTATATACCTGAGACTTGGGAAAACCTCACCACAAAAAAAGTCGAACGGTGGCTAGTTCACATCACCTCCAAGTGAGATAACCATACCCTCAAGTCGCTCATTCAGAATATCCAATGTAGCATGGAACGTAGCGCCTTCCTTTCGAAACCAAATTTTGGTGTCCAGATCATCCAATTCATGCCGAAGGAGGTTGGCAATCATTGACAATTGACAGTGATGGCCTGGCCAACGTCTTTTTCAAAGAAACATGGACCATAAGGAGAACCTCCGTGTTACTAACTCCAATCTCTAAATGAAATATCCGAAACATTTTTATGATATCCCCCTTTATCTCAAAGAATTCATAATGTTAGATGAAGCTTAGTATATTGTAATTTCAGTGGTGGTAGTACTGGAATACTATTTGTATGTCTTGCTGCTTGCTTCTTGCTGCTATTCAGCAAGTATACCTGAATTTTGAATATATAAATGAACAAAATTACTGAAAACAATAATCGTTGATTAGAGTTGTGCCTGGAAGGTTGAAGTGTGTAAGTTGATCAGTCTTGATTGAATCTTATCTCGAAGTTTTGATTGTGAATATACAGATTTGAACATGGAGGCTACTCTTATTCAAAAGCTAGTGAATGAGCTACAGTGTCCAACCTGCTCTGGTCAGATGGTCCCGCCACTGATGCAATATGTTCTAGAACATCACTGTTGTAACAAGTGTTTCTCAGAGGATGAATATTGCCAGAAGTGTCAATTCCCGATGGGAAACAGGAGGAACTATTCGTTGGAAAAGCTATGTTTCTCTTACTCTTTGAAATGCGTACTTTGCTCCCGATGGATGTTCATTCACAGGAACTTGCATTATTGTTGCGGAACACGAGAGAAGTTGCGAAGTTTTTCAAAAACGGCAACGAAATTCTGCTGCATTATCTGGGGAAGCTATTCGTCACATTGGGGGTAAGTTAATATTTCTATGATGTGTATTTCACACAAATTTTCGTATAGGAGAATGTTCTTTTCGACTTTTTCTGTACAAATACTAAAATTGAGTTATTGGTCATTTACAGATTCCAACGGACAATCTTTGGTAGAAGCCCTTTTTGCGATATTAGAATGCCCGGTTTGTTTATCGGTGATTTTACCACCTATAGGAGAGTGTTCTAACGGTCATCAGCTTTGCCATGACTGTTTTCAGCGAGTGGACCACTGCCCCATTTGCAGAATACCGAATACTTATGTCATAAATATTATGCTGGGAAATATTTTTGAAATGATGGTGATATCTTGCAGAAATGCCGGCGGAGGTTGTGAAATCCGGGGAAGTGCCCCATCTGTCCTAAGACCAAGAAATCTTGTGATTACGTAGTGAAGTTATGCTCACTCACAGTGGATGGGATTTGCAAGTGGCAAGGTGCGATATGTCATTTGCTAGAGCAGTGCAGGAATACGCACTCTGACAGGCTTATCTTAAACAGCGAGTACACGCGTATTTCTGATAAATTCGAAACCCAACTTTCGTATTATCTACTCTACATTGATGGTGTTCTGTTCAGATTTGGGTGGTGGTACGTTCGTGATGGTGTTTATAGATTTTCTGTAAATTCCTTTGGATATATGGGGATTGAAAATCGATATTTTTACAGACTTACAATTTTACACCGTACTGCCAATTATTTCGTAATATTTCCGAGAAAATTATGTGCTGATCTCGAGGATGGTGTTGTTAAATTTTTGAATAGTGATTTCATAGAGATGTCACAGGAAGCGTTAGTGAATTGTCCCAGCTATGTGGTGATCTCATTAATATCGTCAGAATATTTAAGCATAGAATGTAGAAGAAGGTCATCACGCGCTTTCATTCGATAATGTTTCATTATCTTTTTTTCAAATAGGTATAAAATATTTGTCATTAATTATTGTTTCAAATAAGCGTTACTGTTAAGTATTTGTCTGATGTTTGACTTCGAAATTGACAAAAGTGGTGAGTCTAGTAAACAAAAGTATATTGACCAAAATAGTGAGTGCATGGCTGATGATACAAATATCATGTTATACATATCAATGAATGTGCTACCATCCTATAAAGATGATAGTATTTTCTTTGATATTGTTGTAAATCGTGCCCTAAAGAAAATAACGCCGGCCGCCACTGGTAGCCATAAACCAATCGTGACGTAGCTAACTATGAACTAAAAATGAATAATTTCTATTTAAGCTGGTTTTGTATGAATTTAGTGTTTGTCCAGTGAATTCCAAACCTCTATTACAATATTCATTATATAATCTGACAACGTGACAAATTAGCTACTATAATAACCATAATTTGAGCGATGGAAGGACAATCTATTACGGTTGATAGTATCTTATAGGGAGTAATCAAGTCAGATCTTCTTCTATTATTTTCCAAGCTGGTAGTATTCAAATTTTGCATAACTTACGTATAATCGTAGATTCATTTTAATTGCTATACACCTCAGAAATTTTCTATGCCCCCTTTCTATTTGATCGATGTGAGTTCGATAATATGGTAACCACACTGGTGAGGCGTATTGAATAGGTAACCGATTATCCCAAAGGTAGATATAATGTTCTAAAAGCCATAACTGATAGGTTTTTAGTATTTCTAGAAATAAAACCCAATAATTGAAAAGATTTACTGACTACGGAGTCAATATGATGTNAGTTAATTATTATTTACAGATTGCAATGGACAATCATTGGAAAAAGCCCTTTTTGCAGTATTAGAATGCCCGGTCTGTTTATCAGTGATTTTACTACATATAGGAGAGTGTTCTAACGGTCGAAAAGTCTTGTAATTTCGTTATGAAGATATTCCCACTCACAGTGGATGGGATTTGCAAGTGGCAAGGTGCGATGTGTCATTTGGTGGAGCACTGCAAAAATACTCACTTCGATAGACTTACTATAACAAGTGAGATATTCGAAAACCAACTTTCGTATCATCCGTACTACATTGATGGTGTTCTGTTCAGATTTGGGTGGTACGTTCGTGATGGTGTTTACATATTTTCTGTAAATTCCTCCTTATCACTAACTCCAATCTTCAAATGAAATATTTGAAACATTTTTATGATTTCTCCCTTTATCTCAAAGAATTCATAATATTAGATGAAGCTTAGTATATTGTAATGGTGGTAGTTCTGCAATACTATTTGTATGCTGCTTGCTGAGAACCAAGCAATTCAGGTATATGTAGAGGTAACACATACATACAGGTATATATCTGTACCTGAATTTTGAATATATAATGTTGAAACAATAATCGTTGAGTAGTGTTGTGCCTTTAAGGTTAGGTGTGTGTGAGCTGACCAGTCAAGTGAATTAAAGTTGCGAAATTTCTCAGAAACGACGAAGAGATTCTGTTACATTATTTGGGGAAGCTATTCGTCCCATTGAGGGTAAGTTGATATTTTTATAGTATTTGGTTGATAATGGGTTACTGAATATTGATGTATACAATTTCTACTATTCATTGAATTAAAGAGTCATATAAAGACATTTCATTAAAATGTACGTATATCTACCAAATTAGAATAATAGAATGTGGATTCGAAAGAATTTAGCCAAGATAGCAAAATGTATTCGCTATCTTGCTATTGTCAACGAAGTGTTTTATCCTTTTCTATGATTTTACATTAGAGAATTTTCTTTTCGATTTTTTTGTATGTACAAATACTTATTAGGCTTTGGTATTATTTGTTTACAGATACCAAAGGACAATCACTGGAAGAAGCCCTTTTTGCAGTATTAGAATGTCCGGTGTGTTTATCGGTGATTTTACCACCTGTAGGGGAGTGTTTTAACGGTCACAAGCTTTGCAATTACTGTTTTGAGCGAGTGAAAGACTGCCCCATATGCAGAATACCAAAGACATATGTCATAAACTTCATTCTGGGGAAAATTTTTGGAATGGTAGTAATATCTTGCAGAAATGCCCGCGGAGGTTGTGAAATACGAGGAAGTGCCCCATCTGTCCTAAAACACGAGAGGTCTTGTAATTTCGTCGTGAAGTGTTGCCCACTCACGGTGGATGGATTCTGCAAATGGCAGGGTGCGGTGCGTCATTTGGTGGAGCACTGCAAAAGTACTCATTCTGACAGGCTTACCATAACAAGAGACTCTAAGTGTATTTTTGGAAAATTCGAAAACCACCTTTCGCATCATAATCTGATCTACATTCATGGTGTTCTGTTTAGATTTGGGTGGTACGCTTGTGATGGTGTCTATAGATTTTCTGTGAATACATTTGGATATGTGGGGATTGAAAATCGGTATTTCTACAAAATTGCAATTTTCCACCGTACTGCCAATTATTGGATGGCAATTCCTGAACAATTATGTGCAGATCTAGATGATGGTGATATAAAATTTTTAAATATGCATTACGTAGAGATGTCACAAGAACAGTTGATGAGTTTTTCCAAAGGAGGTGGTGGGTTTAGTTACATCGTCCAAATAATTGACCGCGGAATGTAATGGTATATATCCTCACACGCTTCAATTTGGTAAGGTTTCGTAATTATCTTCTTCACAAATAAGCTGAGTTTTGTCCTGCTTTTTTGCTACATTGCAGCAGTCCAGAGATTTGTCCTTCCATTATCAAAAATTTGTCATTATAGTTTCTTTTTCGAATAAATGTTACAGTTGATTAATTTTATCGTTTTTGTTTCAAGTAACAGTTTCAAGACTCACAGTTTATGTGAGTCTGGTAAATGAGTGTTTTGTAACTNTAAATGAGTGGTTGTAACTTTTTATCTTATAACAACTTCTCATCATCACTCATTGTATTGATTGTCAGTCTCAGACTGATGTCATCTACACTGATGTTTCTACAGCGTTCGACAGATTGCTCAACAAGCTTTCCACTTTTGGGTTATCTGATGACTTAATTACTCTCTTCATATCGTATGATGACACGTCCATTATATGTAAAGGGAAAACACTTAATGATGCAATTGATGCTTCACATGATGTCATACACGAATTTGAGTCATGGTGTTTCAGAAACATGCTAATTATTAATTATGGTAAAACCGTATGTATGTTATTTAAATCTAAAACGAATTCAATCGATTCAAAAAATATCAAAATTCACATAAATACTCATGAGCTGAAAATAAGCAATGAAACAAAATTTCTGGGAGTCACCTTAGATGAACTCATTGCTTGGACTCCACATACCCACATAGCAATAGATGCTATTCATTCTGGGTTGTCAGAAAAAACTCTCAGACAACTTTTAAAGAAGAACACTTTATTCTTATGGGATAGCAATCACAGCAAAGCTTTTAATGATCTTAAAGACATAGTTAGTAAANACAGATATGTAAAAAGATGTGTAGATCATGCAAAGAAGTAACGTTCAGACACAAACTGGAAGAAAAGCCCTCTCCAAATAACTGATATCATGTGAACATTGAATTACAGGAAAAAAAATACTTTCGAAACAAATACTTTTATATAAACAATGAATTGTACGGAAAAACACTTCTTTCTATTCAGTTTGTGTTCCAAATATTCGTTATGGAATTGAATCAGATATCATTCACAGAATGGGCTTGTTTCACGATTTTTGGTTTATAGTTCACTTGATAAAAATTTCAAATTGAAAACAGTGCACTTTGTTTCAGCTCTCCAAGTACCGTAGTTTTCCCGTAATTAATTATTAAAAATTGAATGTGGTAGGGCGGTGACGTCACGGCCCTATTCCCGCTTCTTGTTCGATTGACAAATCGACAAATTGACATTGCCAAATCGTAAAATTTGCGAAGCCTATCAATTCAATTATGGAAGTGTATATGAACCCGTTAACGTTTCAATTCAATTCAATTTTATTTGGAATATGTTAGTATACAATTTATTAATATTATGGTTAGGACCACTAGGAGTTTGAGTAAAGCAGCCTAAGCGCAACTGTTGCAGTTGTATTAGTGAATAGACAGTGGAAGCTGGTATATTTAATGAGAATAAGTACCTATAATTATCTATACATCTAGGTTTACATAATATTGGAAATAGGTACACATACACTGAAAGACACATTGGAAGATCAGAAAATGTACTGAGTGATATTTCTGAATTATTGGATATGTTTGAATAAACTGTTTATATGGGTATTATTTACAATTATGAATTCTTTTGTATTTTTTTATACTTTAAAAATGTGGTATTTATCTTTATTTCAAGTGGAAGCATGTTATAGGTACAGTTTTGGAGCGAAATAGTAGACTGAACGTTGGGTATGACTTTTTTTGAAAAGGAGTATATCAATGGATAAATTATGTACATTTCTGGTGTACTTTGTATTTACCTTAGAATAATTGATATTGTTTGAGTATATCCATATAAGACACTGGTGTGCATACAAACTTCTTATATCAAGTAGATTAGTTTCAGAATAGAGTTTTTCTGTATCAAATTGTCTGTTTTTCTTCAACATTATTTTTAAAACTGTATTCTGTATTCTGTAACTGTGATACAATATCGTATAACTGACTCAACAAGAGATTTGTAAACAATAATAAAGTTTTTTTTGTGAGTATATCCCTGNAGCAACTTCGTTCACATTATAATAAAAATGTTCCAATTCACAGTAATCTATAAAATATACTTTTCACATATAGTCAGTGGGCATACTTGAAGACTGGCTATAAATCAAATCATCTAAATGAACAATTCGTTCAGGCTTGAGAAAGCTATTGTATAACGAAACACGTGTACCGGTTTTTGTAAAACCCTTTATAGTGAAAGTCATACAATAAGCTGTAATAATTAGTTTTTTTTTCTACTTAATTTTTGAGTAAATTTCCTATCGGCTGCTAATGAAAATGTTTTTAATTTTTTTTTTTCAATGATGATGGAGATTTAAATTTTTCTATTACTTCTGGTACGCTATTATAAGGTTCCATGTTTGTGAAAGAGTGAGCTCTGTGTGAAGTTGACTTTTTCAGTATTACTGGGTATGTTAATTTTTCGCAGTAATGTGTAGAGTATGAGTGATCACGAATTTTGATTTGCTTAAACTGAAGTGGTATTTCACGTTTGTACTGAGAGAAAACAATTGTTGCACATCTAAGGTGCCAATTCATATAAACACTCTGTTGAAAATCGTTGACTTCGTGACATTATTATTTTTAGGAATATTTTTTGTAATGTTTTCAGGGGTTTCAGATATACGTGGAGCTGATCCCCAAGCAGTTATTCCATATCGTAAATGACTTTCAACAAGAGCGGTAGATGATGTTTCAGTCCGTTGAAAGGTTAAACTCTTTTCAGAACCCGAAATCTGTAGAGAACTGTTTGAATTTTTTTTATTATATATCCACCATTTTAGATTTAAGTCAATATTATACGCTTGAGTATTTCGATTGTTTAACAGAATGAATTGTGAAGAAGTTATTGAAGATTCAGGGATTTTATGAATCAGAGGAGCCAAAAGCAAGAGATGGCATTATATCATTTATATCGTATCCTATAATTTTAAAATTATCAGTATGTCCAAATTCAAAAAAATAATAAAAAATTATATTTTGAGTGTATGCTTCTATTCTGTCAAAGAATACGTGAATCATTTCAAATGTTGATAATGTTTACACACTCAATTTTTTTCTATATTTTTGTATTCGTGTTTCTTATTTGTTTTTAAACTCTTTTAGTTGTTTAACTGACCTTTACTTTTATGCCTTTTTTGACTTGCTAGAAACATTTCATTATCTAACGTAGTGAAAGAAATTATCTATCTATCTATCGTATATGTATATAACGTCTGAGTTGTTCAAATCATTGATTGAAAGATTTCATCGCTTGATTCATTTTCAGGTTCATTCAAAAGTCACATAGGAATAAAGAGGATAATACGAGGTATGCGTTCTAAATTCAAATATTGTATCAGAATTCAACACCTTCAGAATTTGTTTCAATTCTATCCCAAATAGAATTTTCTACAAATAGTGAAAGTTGAGAAAATGTTTCTGAAATGAATAAAATTGCATTACGTAAATAATAATTCTCGATAAACTACTTTAATAGAGCCAAACTTTGTTTGATTATATTTACTGCCAGGTGATGATAACTTTATTGCCAACACGTGTGCCAAACAATTTTTTTAGAGTAATTCTGAGCCAAAATAACCACTTAATACTCGGTGCTTGTCGGCTTTATTAATGTGTGTGATGGAATCGGCCATAACCTATAGAAAAAACACTTTATTGTGAGATCTTCACTACACGGCTTACCAAAAACTCAACACGAGTTTTGCTATATAACACCTTCTTCAGGCATTTTTCCACTAACTAAAATCTATATTTAATAAAAATAATAATCGATTATCGTAAGGCATTTGATACAATTTCGCAAGAGCTCATTTTGCATTTGCTCAGATGCCTTGCGGTACCCGACAAGATAGTGAGATGCATTGAACAACTGATACCACTTTGGCGAACTAGCTTCACCGTAACATCTGGTCAAGCAAGAGTCCAAACAGGCTGGGTCACTTTCAAAATGTGTGTATTTCAGGGTGATTCCCTCAGTCCCCTTCTCTTCTGCATCTTACTATTGCCATTATCCGTTGCGCTCAGAAATACTCGAGGGTATAACTGTGGCACCCCCGGAAACCGGAGGCACAAGGTCACCCATTTATTTTATATGGATGATCTTGAACTTTCTGCCTCTGGAGAGAAGGATCTCCATCAGTCCTTGAGGGTGGTGGAAGAGTGTTCGCATTATGAAATTCATGATGGACAAATGTGCAATGGTCCATCTCAATAGAGGATGATGCGGGGACTATGGAGAGGATGTGCAGCTCGTAGATGGAAGCATCCTACACCATCTGGATGCCGGAGAGACGTATACTTACCTCAGGAAGAAACAACGCCACTCACAAGAGGTAACTGAAGTGAAAAACTCTCTCTGCCGCAAGTATCAGCACAAACTTCGACAGATTTGGTCATCGGAACTGTCGGAGAAAAACAAAGTTTCTGCAACAAATATGCTTGCCGTTCCAATGCCGTTCTACTCTTTTGGAGTAGTGGAGTGGACTCAGAAGGAGTTGTATCAACTCGACGTAAATACACGAAAAATGATGCATATCTATAGGAGTTTGCATCCCAAATCGACCATTCCACGATTGTCCTACCCCCGACAAAAGGGCGGCCGTGGACTTTTGAGTTTGGAGTGTCTACATGACAGAATAGTACTGGATACAGCCTGTAAAGTCATCAGCCGTTCAGCAAAAAGCTCAGATAAAAGCCGTAGAGATCGCCTTACTTTTGCGGAAACACAAAAGTAAGGCGTATGCATGGGGTCTTCTTCAGTAACATTGGAGACCTTGGCTTATCAAAGCGCCTGATATACGCTTTTCTCAGGTCGAGTGAGCTGAAGCCGGAAACTGAGGTTTCATCATGGCTTGCCAGGATGGTGTCTTCAACACCTTAGTTTACCGCAGACGCGTGATGGGTATAGAGGTTCCTGTCTCTAATGCACTTGCTCTCAGCATGTCCAGCATATGCGGTCTCGGTCTATATCTTACGGTATCGACGGACAACGGTGTTGCCCTACGCTCCGGGGGATATTGAATCCGTTGTGGGGATCCAAGACGCCGAAGTGTAAACATCAAAGTGTGAAAGCTTGAAGTGTTACCTGAAGTGTAGTGATA